GCCTTGCTCAAGGGCACCTCAGTCGTGGTATTGAAGGTGAGAAAAAGCACTGTACATTCACTCCCCCCACCTACAATCCCTGCTGGTACGAGACTTGAACCCGCAACCTTTGGGTTACGAGTCTGACTCTCTAACCATTAGGCCACGACTTCCCCCTTAGAGTGTGCAAAGCCTCAATACAGTTATCAGCCTCACAGATGCTGGATATAAGTGTTGTGAGCTGAGATGGCAATACAGCATAGATCCAGAGATTATCTGAGATTAATGAGCTGTTATTAGCCAAGCATCTTTGGACTAATTGAGAGGATCAGGCTTAAAGACAGTAATTTATTAGCCACTGGAGCTAATAATGACAGATGGACATCACAGTTAAACATATCATCATATGGCACATAGGACTAATATTATGACAAGATATTTGGTATATGAGAGGCAGAAAATTAAATGAACTGGCAGGAGGTAAACACAGAATACAAAAGTATAATTCAAAAAGCAATAGGCAATATACCATTCAAAAGTTTGTTGTCGGTAAGATTTTTTTAAAATGTTTTTGAAATAATTTTCTTATGCTCACCAAGCCTGCATTTATTTGATAAAAAATACAGTAAACCGTAAGATTGTAAAATATTATTACAACTTAAAATAACTTTTCAATTTTTAAAAAAATATATTTTGAATACATTTTCATTTGAATATATTATCAAATGTAATTTATACCTGGGATGACAAAGCCAAATCTTTAATTTCATTACTCTAGTCTTCAGTGCCACATGAATGATCTATTAGAAATTATTCTAATATGCTGATTTGCTCCTCAAGAAACTTTTCTTATTATTATCAATGCTTGAAAACAGTTGTGCTAATTAACATTTTTGTGGAAACTGTGATGCATTTTTATCAGAATTCTTTTATGAAGAGAAAATTCATTTATTTATTTGAGCATTTATCTTTTTGTTTTTACTGTTATTTTGATCAATTTAATGTGCTCCTGCTGAATAAAAATATTAATTAATAATAAATATGAATTAATATTAATGATTAATTAATCAACAACGAAACACATGCTGCTGCAGTGTTTTAATGTTGTGGGAGCGGATGCCAAGGTGTTGCTATGAGACCACCGGTTTGTTTAAAATTATGTTAAAGCTATGTATAGTAAATACGAGCAATAATAATAGTAATGTAAGCAGTAATAATTCAAGACACTTTATACATGTAAAGAACAAAAAGGATAAATGGAATAAAGGAGTGCTGATGCTCTAAAAGGCACTGTCCTGGCAAGCACATGACCTCCTACATCTACAGGCTATAAAAGTGTCTTAGTTAATGGGAGTGTGGGGATTATATAGACCTTCCCTCCTACTGGGAACAGATAACACTGGATAATGATGAGTCCATCTGCCCTGGACCATCACTCTCTTTTATACACTCACACTTCAAGGTGAAGCAACAGGACAACAGGAATCAGAAAAAGAGGCACATAGGCTCATCCATAGAAACTCTGAAGAAAATATTAGCTCTGGTCCAATACCTTCTCAAAGCAGCATCCTTACAATGTCGAAATGAAAAAATAACCAACTTCCACCACGATTTTTTTTCACTGAGCTTGTTGCAATGGATTCTGGGATTGCCCCACTAGGTGTTGGAGCACAGCAATAAACATTCTCAAACATTCTCAAATCTCAAGGATTGCCCCCATACTGCATGAATGCTCACAGTAGATGTATGCTTTCATACAGAGTGTTCTTGACCATTTTGTTCCTCTTTTCATTCATAAGTACACAGAGGAATGGAAAGTCTGACCCCCCCTCCCTCTCTGTTCCACCAGAGAGAAAGCGGGGAACTTGTGTATTTCCTGTTTGGTGTGGTGGCTGGGAAGTTCTAGGGAATGCTGAGCCATTCTTCTCATTTGCTTCCTCTACACTGCAGAGCTCCCCTGTTCTTCCCTGTTATCATCCTCCATCTTACAGACCATCCTCCATCTCACTCACTCAACCACTCCTCTCTGTCTAATTTTGGAAAATCAGCATCTTAATCTGCAACGCGCTGACATCTAAATAAAGATGCTCTGTCTATATACCAACATGCGCACTGTGAGGAATTTTTTTAAGGGCCTTACATTGATAATTTACCCCAAAATTAAAATTCTGTCATCATTTATCGTGTCATCCCAAACCTGTTTGATTTTCTTTAATCTGTGGTGGTACAATGGAAATCCAGATGATGAACCAGAGTTTATGGTAAATGGCCATATACACACAAAGAAAAAATACCATCAGGGCATAAAATATAAAAACGTGCAGAAACTTCTGGAAATGTCCTTTTACTGTTTCTCACTGTAAATAATATAGAAATTTACTTGTAAAACTATACATTTTACAGTAATTTAAAATGACATTTTATGCTATGTTAAACCATTTACAATGGTGCACCATATATATGGTAAGGTAACTAAGTAACTGGATTTTACTGAAGCATCTTTATATTTTTCCTGTAAAAACGAGAAACATTTTAACAGTGTATGGATTAAGAGATCTGTCATAGGCCTGACATCTGAACCCAACACCTATGTTGCAACCTCACACACACACACACACACACACACACACACACACACAGAGGAGTCAGTAGTGTCAGGTGTCTTTTGCATATTTACCCATTTTAAGGTCTGGGCTAAACACGTCACAGGGTCATGGAGCCACAGGGTCACGGGCGCAGGATGAGGGAAAGTGACCTCTGCTCATACTGAAAGCAACAAAACACACAATTACTACACAAAGCGCAAAGTGTTACACCGCAAGAAAGCCATATAAACAAAGCGTGTGTTATGTTTAAAAAAGCACACATTAACACAAGAGTTAAAGGTAGCCGAGTCACTGAGTAAGCATGAAAATGAATGTGAGGTGTATTTCCTTCAGGATTAAAGTGAGAAATCCTTCAGGCTATAGTGGATTCAGAGCATGTTTTCCCATGAGGCGAGGTCTGGGAAGAGACAGCGACCTGAAAAGGCCACATGAGAAAGAGTGACATCATTTCAGATGTGCTCTCTGTAGTGTAAAGGTAACAGGAGAGATCCAGCCTCAGGCCTCTTGAGCTGGTAAACTGAAACGCGCTGCCATCACATAACACAAAGTCACACACACTGCCAAGTTTCCTTTCTGGTGAGTGCAGGATCTGTAGGGAACATTACTACTGCAACAGCATATCACAAGGGCTGGTATTAAAGGACCCAGGAACAAAAGGAGACAGAAGAGCATGAGGATGAGGGGACAGAGACAGGATGGAGTGGCGGATGACGTTATGGAGATGGATGGAAGGCAGATGGATGGAGCTTAGGATTGTCAGGATGCGCAAAACAGGCTTATACCAAATTATCCAGTCAGGAAAAACATATGTGGGTCTGACAGTCTTTCATGTGATGTGGGTTAGAGTGCACATTTTATACAGAAAAGAAGCTACTGAGATGGAGCTCATGCTGCTGTATAAGTTTGAGATCCCCATTTTCAGAATCAGAATCAGAATCAGAATCAGAATGAGCTTTATTGCCAGGTATGTTTACACATACGAGGAATTTGTTTTCGTGACAGAAGCTTCCACAGTGTAACAGGATGACAGTGACAGAACAAAAAAACACAGATAATAAAAAAAAAATAATAATAAAAAATAGAAGAAGTAAATAAGGACGTACAGTATGTACAGGTATATAACAATAGACAGTTGTATGTACAGGTATATTATGTGCCAATTGAAATGTAGACCGAGTATGTGTGTTAGATAAATAAGTGTATGAGTGAATAAATACTGTGTTCCACAATTATTGTCAGGTGTTCATGAGATTTTTGTTCCCTTTTGCACTTTTGTGTCTTCTCTTAATAAAGTTTTTGATAAAGGTTTTGTTTTGTGTTCATGTTGAGGTTTTTTGATTTTGTCAAAAAGCAATTAGACAAAAACAATGATAATTAAAAGATTAGATTCAAACCATATTGTTGGTGAAAATATGATGAGAAAACTGATGAAATATCTGTAACAATGCACGAACAATGTTTTTAGAAGAGGAACGATAAAAGTTTGGACTGTTAATTTACACATTAATTTGAACTAAAATGTTATTTACCCTGAATAAAATGTTTTCCTCGGTTAGAATTACACTCTTGCTCAAATGTTTGTCAATAATATATATTTTTAAAGAAATTAATACTTTTTTCAGCAAGGATGCATTCAACTTATCAAAAGTGACAGTGAAGACATTTATAAGGTTGCAAAAGATTTCTATTACAAATTAATGTTGTTCATTTGAACCTTTTATTCATCAAAGTATTCTGAAAAAAATTAAAATACAGTTTCCAAACAAATATTAAAATCGATATGAACACTATTGAAAAAGCCTCATAAAAACGGCCAAGAACGGCCACAACAGATGTCTGTACCTACAAACGTATGAAAAATTCATTTGCCAACTCTATGAAACCTACTCCTATAAAAATATATAATATTTTAGGAAATAAATAAATGTTCACCTTTTATTGGTATTTAGCCTTCATACAAACAAGAAATGTGAAATCACTATCAAATAAATATCAGACTCTTTAATATTATTAATATTAATATTTTTTACTTCAAACTATAGGCTAACATACCAGTCAAAAGTTTTTGAACAGTAAGATTTGTAATGTTTTTTAAAGAATTCTCTTCTGCTCACTACAGCAAAAACAGTAACATTGAAATATTTTTTCTATTTAAAATAACTGTTTTCTATTTGAAAATATTATTTATTCCTGTGATTTCAAAGCAGAGCTTTAGCGTCACTACTCCAGTCACATGATCCTTCAAAAATCATTCTATTATTCTGATCTGATTTTTTTCAGGTGTCTTTGATGAATAGAAAGTTCAGAAGAACAGCATTTATCTGAAATAGAAATCTTTTGTAACATTATAAATGTCGTTATCATCACTTTTGATCAATTTAAAACATCCTTGCTAAATGAAAGTAATAATTTCTATAATATAAATTTTAAAAAGAGCTTTTGAATGGTATAGTCTGTAATGTTACAAAAGCTTTTTATTTCAGATAAATGCTGATCTTTGGATCTTTCTATTCATCAAAGAATCCTGAAAAAAATTTACTCAACTGTTTTAAATATTGATAATCAGCAAATCAGCATATTAAAATGATTGCTGAAGGATCATGTGACACTGAAGACTGGAGTAGGCCTAATGATGCTGAAAATTTAGCTTTGATCACAGGAATAAATTACATTTTAAAATATATTCCAGTAGAACAATAAATCAATGTATGGGAAACACTGGTAATGGATATCGAAATATCGGAAATGTGTTTAAAAATCATATTACCGTTATTGAAAAAAATTATATTGCGATACATATTTATATTGAATTATTGTCCAGCCCTATTAAAACATTAATAAAAAATTTACTTTTCAACAATTTTTCACAATATTACTGTTTTTACTGCATAAGCAGCCTTGGCGAGCAAGAGACTTCTTAAAGGGGTCATATGATGTTGCTAAAAAGAACATTATTTTGTGTATTTGGTGTAATGAAATATGTTTATGCGGTTTAAGGTTAAAAAAACATTATTTTCCTAACTTTTATAAAGAATATCTCTTTGGATTTGAGACTTTAGTCTTTGCAACTTTACAGATCTTCTTTATGCACCAAGAGCTTGTAACACTCCAAAGAGAAAGGAAAAATTTTAATCGCATCATATGACCCCTTTAAAAAATATATTTTAAAAACTTTTACACGGAAGTGTATTTGTCAAGAATAACAATGACAAAAAGTACTGATTATTACATGACAAGATACTGACAAAATTTAAAGGACATTTTCATCAAAAATACATATGAATAGAATACATTTAAAAAATAAATTATGACTCAAAAATTGTGAACGTAAAAATGTAAACAAATAAATATAACTAAGCATGACAGGAAATAGAAAGACTTCTGCACACTTTGCTAGTATATGCTATTAAGAAGGTCTAAACGACAGGGAAACTGAGTGTGTGTCTGAGGCAAGAGTGTGTCAAAGCACAGGCACAGGCAAGTGTTGGATTGTGGGCAGGTGTTTGCTCATGGGGCTATCGCGTTCTGCTGGCTCTACACACCACACTGTTCCTGTATCAGTTTCAGCGTGTGTATGTGTGTTTGTGTTGAGTGGGGGAGGTGTCAGGATAGAAGAGTCTCGCTGGGGATGGGGGCTACAACACTCCAAGAACCGGGAGGAGGATTCCTGACAAGAGGAGACACCCAGAGAAGGTTTCTGGTTAAACTGGTTCTACTGCTGAACTATTTCCTCCCTTCTCTCTCTCTCTTTGGGTGGCTCTCCTCCTTCCTCCATCTTGTTTTCATCACAAACTTATTTTGCAGCACACTTTCTTTTTCAAAGGTCCTGCATTGATTATAATGTGTCCATCAGTGCTCTGCAATCGTATCCAGGCAAAAAAGATAAACCAGAAATAATAAATATTAAATTACCGGGTCATTTAAAAATATAAACCCTATAAAATGTTACAAGAACTATAAAAGTATACTGCAATTCTTCATATCAAGTAAGAAAAGTAAGATGAGTGAAACAGAAAAACCAGTTACAACCAGAATCTGTGTTGTACAACATGCCAACTGGTTTCTAACTGGTCCAAGATGGTTCAAACTGGAGAACCAGCTGTTGGGCACCTGACTGAGCTTGGGCCAGCTAGACACCAGCGATCATGTTCCAAAACACAGCTATCACTGGTTTCGGCTGGATTTTCCAGCAGGTGAGGGAGTACTGAGAGACCGAGGCAAATCAACAAATGTGCTTGCTTGGAATGAACACGAGGGGTTAACGGGGAGGTGGAGGGGGGCATATGAGGCCTTTGGCAAAGCAGCGCTCAGCTGTCACTCCAAACAGGTGGCCCTGACATGACCTTTGGCTTTTTTTATTGCATACAGCAACCATTTTGTTTCAGGCAATCAAGCCAGGAGCTCCAGCGAAGCCCATGACATCACACAGAGAGGATGAAGTCCAGTGAGAGAAGCAAAGAAGATCCAAAAATAAGCTTTATTTGTGTTTGACAGAGGGATGCTCACTGTGTGATGCACGAGCTACTGGCTATTACATACTCCTAAAAAAATGGGCCATAAAAGCATTTGATAGGGATGCACTGGCCAATTCTGTTAACTTGTTATTTTATGGCTGATATTAACTCAAATCTGACATTTTAAATGCTACAATTAGTGTTATTTTAGTATCAGTGGTATACTATTATAGTTTTTGTTAATATTTTAAATTATATTTTATTTTTAGATTTCCTGTTTTTATTTTAAAGTTTTAGTAATTCTGTTTGTGTTGTTTTAGCCTTTTTTTAAAGTATCAGTGTTTCCCATACATTGATTTATTTGTGGCGGCCTGCCACTATATCAAAACTGACTGCCACAAATAGATTTTCCAAAAGGCTTTGACTTCGTTGAATAAACATGAGCACTGCACATTTCAAAATTAAAACCTGGTGCGGGTGTTTTTATATCACTGTATTTCTGAAGGAATCCGACTGGCTTCAGAAAATTTTGGATGTCATTTTCATTTAATCTTGCATGAGATGTCTGATAAAGCAGCGTTTGTGAGCGGGGAGTGCTGCTTTGTGTACAGCCATTACCAGGGAAACCTCTATTTCTCCTGCTCTAAGCGCCTCCTGCTGGCAGAGAATTAATTTGCATATAGATATGCCGCCACAAATAGAGTGC